TTGGACAAAAGAAAGAAGAGTTTGGATCAGATAGCATAAAACATGAGAGCATAAAACATGCTGAAGTTAATTAAATTAATAGAACAAAAACTTCAACTCTAGAGCTGAAGTTCCCCAGTTACAAAGACAAAAACTTCAGCTCTAGAGCTGAAGTTCCCCAGTTACAAAACAAAAACTTCAGCTCTAGAGCTGAAGTTCCCCAGTTACAAAATAAAAACTTCAGCCAGTTACAAACAAAAACTTCAGCTCTAGAGCTCAAGTTCGCCAGTAACAAAACAAAAACACAAAAACAAAAACTTCAGCTCTAGAGCTGAAGTTCGCGAGTTACAAAACAAAAACATCAGCTCTAGAGCTGAAGTTCACAAGTTACAAAACAAAAACTTCAGCTCTAGAGCTGAACTTCAGGCCCGGCTACTAGAATGATGAAGTTTTGCGTGATTGCCTTTGCCACTTCAGCCCCGTATGCTGAAGTTATGCGAAAAAGCGGGTACGCTTGCAATTTTTTTTGCAAAGCGGGCACAAGTTAAAACGTGACACAAAAAGCGGGTATAGATGCAAATGCCCCAGATTTAACAACCCGACACAATTGGTTTGGTTTGGTAATTGTAAAATCCGAACCAACCCGACCTATGTACTCCCCTAAGTTTATGTTTCAGAACTTAAGAAACGAAATCTGAAGTTGCATTCTACTTAAGAGTCGAATGTCTGAAGTTGCATTTGAAAGATAGAACAACTTCAGATTCGAATTTTTGAAGTTGCATTGAAGAGATTGAACTACTACAAATCCAGACAGGTACACTTTGCAAAATTTTGTGCAATACGAGTATAACTTCATGGTAACCTCAAAAGTGGGTCTCATCCAATGATCATGATTATGAGACTACACCCATTCACCTTGTTAAGAAGACTTTAATGCAAGCATTCGAATACGGAAAAACTGTTTTCTTAATATTTTTGCCGTCTAATTTTCACTTAGAGGAAAAATGACCGACAAAAGAATTAGTAAACCTATCGACGGTATCGCGCTTAATAATATACATTAATATAAAATCAATTGTTACATCGAATAACATCAAAATTCATCATCGGGAACAATGGTCAAAATGATATTTTTCTATTGACAATGAATTGGTGTAAATATAGGCTTTGTCGTCGACATTGGTATCATAATCTCCGATGTTAACATCTTCTTTTAAGAATCTCCAAGCTTTTTTTTGTTTAAATTTCTTTTAGTTTGGTATTGAAGATGCCATCGAGGTAAACGAAAATCCAAAAGCTCAAGAAAATATGTTTCGAAATCAAAAGAATCGAGGGTGTGGCCTAAGAGACAATAAAGTGGTTGAAGAACTATCATATTTCAGGTTTAAATTCTAGCGAAAACAAAAAATATTAGGTGATCTTTTCTATCTGCCTAGACTGTAGTGAATAGAGTTATTCGGCATATATGCACAAGCTTGAGTAACAGATACTCGTTGGAATAGTCGTCGTATTGCGTGCAAGTTAATGCGAACACCACCATCATTAAATTAAAAAAGCACAAATGAACAAAGGAAATGTCACTTTCACGAGGAGTAATCTCCTACTGCTTCTCTCTCTATAAATAGCGATATTGAATCTTACATTTCTCACACAACACAGAAAACTGTAAAAAGTAAAAAGTCACTTATTTTATAAACTCTATGGCCAAAGAAATTAGTAGTATTATGAACATCTTCATTTTGTTGCTTGTAGTAACAACAACAGTAAAAGGACTAACCCCAGGCCCTTGTTGTCGTCCCCCGGTGTTTTATTGTTGTCCTTTCAAAGGGAGTGGAGTTCATAACATTCCTTTGCCGCCCAAGAAACCCCACAATTTTCATCCCTCTATTAACAAGTTTTCCCCACACACAGAAAACCAGCTAAAACACCTTTGATCAGTTCAGCTGAATCATATCTTGCTTGCTTGATTGTCGAGTTAAGGTTACTATGTTTTGCTTCTGGAATAAGGTTATATATGGAGCTGGATATTTGAGCTTTATAAGTTCAAATATTGCCCTTAGAGTAAATAGTGTTGAAGTTTGTGATAGGAGTGTTTATGTGAAGAGATAGTAAATGTTAATATGGCATGGCCGACCCAAAGGGCACGTCCAAGTCCAAGACGAGCACGACCGTCATTCGTAAGGAGCATTCTTTGGGCAGATAGGAGCCAATGAAGACCCCATGCCCATTGCGTTTACCGAATCCGAGAGTCCGAGCATACTAGTCGTGGACCAAGCCATCGCAGGGCGAAGCAAGGACGACTTGGGACACAACTGCAGCTTTTGGTTCACCCCGCACGTCGAACGCGAGGGGCGAAAGGCAACCGATTGTGCTTGATAATGCCTTGGCATTAGGTATGCAACACAGAAAACCGACGCCGAACAAGCCTAATTTGCGCTTGTGCCATGTCTGAGATGGCATGCGGGCTAGGACGTCGCTGCTCAAGCAGGGATCCAACCTAGCCACACATGCCGAACACTACTCATGTGCCGCACGTACACTTGCCTCGCCGATGCAAGCCAACAACAGCCCCAACACGCGACGCGCAGCCATGTGTTGTTGCCGATGCCAACGTTGCAAAGCCAAGACAAGCCCCGCAAAGCACGAATAGGGGGTTGGAGCAATGCCAGACACAACCCGCAACAACCGATGGCAATCGGCAACTTACTGAGCTTCGCCCCATGCGCATGGCACCTTGCGGCGCTACTTGCACGGTGCTTTGCCGTTCTGTTGCCAAAAGCCATCAGCCGCCACGAGCGATGTCGCCTCCCGATGTTGCCCGCAACAACCGATGGCAATCGACATGTACTGAGCTTCGCCCCATGCGCACGGCACCTTGCGGCGCTACTTGCACGACGCTCCGCCGTTCGTTGTCAAAAGCCATCAGCTGCCACGAGCGGTGCCAGACACAACCCGCAACAACCGATGGCAATCGGCAACTTACTAAGCTTTGCCCCATGCGCATGGCACCTTGCGGCGCTACTTGCACGGTGCTTTG